CTGTTTTCGCAACCTTTGGACATTTGGATAGCACCTTCTATCCATCATTCGCTAGGGACTTAGTCCCTTGGGCCTTATCCATTACCCTCGCGACATCAAACACCACCTTCTGGTGTTCTAGAGTGTTCGGGTGTCCCAATGATGGCTTTCTTGACAATGAGTATTTCCTTTTATGACATTGACTTACTATATCGCAACACAAGCAACTTATCCCCCGTAAGGGTATATCCAACTTCCCTATGCTATTAAGAAATCTTGGGTAGCTACCTTCTACCCGTTTAACCAGTTATTTTGCACCTCTTGTTTAGTTGCCTCATAGTTGTCAAGTCCTACAACTCATTGTTTGGTGCTTCCACACCTCCATCATTATTTGGGTCACCACACTCCAACTGCATGCTCTACAGCTTAGGCTATGCTATTCCCATTTCCATTGGGATTCCTTTGGCAAGGGGTTCTCATGAACCCACCAACATAGCCTCAAGGTATCACACCCTGGCACATTTGGTGTCTCCACACCATCGGCTCCACGAGCCTACCTCTATGACATTTCCCCTTCGTGTCTAAGTCTTTGCCAAGACCAACACCGCTCTTTCTCATGCCAACCATCCGTTAGCACTGCACCATAGAGGTCATACACAACTTTATATCAAAGTTGTTTTCTTCTGGGAACACCTTTCCCATAACTTTAGTATGGCACATTTTGCCATCGATGAGATACCCTCTGTTCTCATCCTTGGATCCTATGATCCCCCCCCATCCTTTGTGGGGTACAACACACCTCAGTCCAAATGCTTCAATCAGTCCTTTTAGGACCATCCGTTGACTCTACTTGAGTCATCCAGCAGTTTTGGACTTGGTTAATCCACAGACCCGTAAGGTCCTACTTGTGAGGCACTAGCTCACTGGAATACACTTCTTGCATTCCTGTCCTACTCAAAAGGACTATTTTCACAAGTGTTACTCCGACATTTGATTTTGTTCTCTGGGGGCAACCTTTGCCCCTTAGGACTATTTGTCCATGTGATGAGAACACCAACTCATCCACTTAATACACCCCCAACTCCTTGGGTTGTTCCAGCATTTATTAGAGGTAGCCCCGGCTACCTTTTCAAGGACTTGAGTCCTCTTCCGTATTTGACCTCCCACGGTCATTACTTCTGGTCTCACATTCATGAGCACCAACCTCAACTATATGAGGAAAATCTTGTGACTCCTTTATTGCTTTGGAGTCTTTATCTTTCCCGTAGTTGTTTACCACAACTACATTAGCCAGTTTGCTAAGTCAAACGCTCATCTAGATCACATCCTCAACTCTTTGAGGAAAACCATATACTGTTCCCAAGATCCCAAAGTCGTTCCATTATTGGCCCTTTTCTATCCACCACCTTGTCTACAAGTTCACACATGAACTGTAATGGAGAGCCATATCTTCCCGACCTGCTACTCCTCAAAGATAGGCCCACTTCTCGGACCTTCCATTGCCAACACCAGTGGTGATATACTTGAGCACCAATAAAAGTCGGACTAAGGAACAGCTCCGATACCAAATTGTAAGTGACTAAATTTTCCATTCTAGTTTAGTCACTTAACCACACCTCTGACCACTTGGAGGAGTCTCATTCACAACCTCCATAAGTCCAATCCAGGACTTGGGACTTGCTAGCCCCGAGAATGGCATCCATGCCACTCAACATTTGCACTTGGTCCAAGTGCTCCACGTGTCCGATCCCATGACCGACACTCAAAGGTACCACCGACATAGCAGCCTGTTACGCTAAGGCCATGCCCAATCACCTTTGCCACACTGGTAGTCCAATACCACTTGCATCACCGTCTTGGCTCTCCAAGACTAGGCAAACCATCCGTGAGTGGTCATCTCAGATCCACTCCTTAGCATCCTTAGGATGCCCACCGACAAGGGGAATAGCCTTCCCCAATATCCCTCTGTCAGTCCCCACTAAGTCCCTTTCTGCCCCTGGCCGTGTTTGCCAACACTGCCACTGGATCGAGACCCACAGGCCCGACCACTAAGTCCCACGGTCCTTTGGGACTTCCTCACCACACGACTGTGTCCTTGGTCACTACCCCAGAGGACTGCTCCTCTTCCTTTCCACAGTCTGGGCCTTTGGGACAACATTTCGGAACACCGTGGCCTTATGCGAGCCACCTGGGTACTCTCCTCGCCTTCTGCCCTTGGGTGCTCTAGCCATGGGCTTAGAGCGGGTTCCGTTGAGCCACACCAGGTATCCAAGTAGGTAGTGCCACCCACACTTGGACTGGGAGCATCGGCCAGTCGATCTCCCGGGGGAACTAGAGCCGGCTCTTGAACACTACACCAAGCTACCCCGCTTGTCGGTCTGTGTTCACTCTAGTCTTGGACTTCCCAGTGGGCAGCTCATCACCCAACACTGGGTCCGGCCTTCCTGGGCCAAACTGGCCTTTCTTGGCCAAACTGGCTCCACTGCAGTCCTCCCCCTACTATACTTTTGGAGCTCACCAAACCCCCCAGGGTCTGGGAGACGAACGCTTTGGGCTTTCACCCTCTCAGGCTCCGGACTCGGACTCGGACTTGGACTCGGACTCGGACTCGGATTCAGACTCGGACTCGGGCTCGGGCTCGGTCTCGGCCTCGGCCTCGGTCTCGGTCTCGGTCCCGATCTCGGTCTCGGTCTCGGTCTCGGTCTCGGTCTCGGTCCCGGTCTCGACTTCGGACTCCATCTCGGACTCCATCTCGGGTCCATCTCGGACTCCATTTCGGGTCCATCTCGGGTCCACCTCGGACTCCATCTCGGACTCCATCTCGGACTCCATCTCGGGTCCATCTCGGACTCCACTTCGGACTCCAACTCGGGTCCATCTCGGGTCCACCTCGGACTCCACTTCGGACTCCATCTCAGACTCCATCTCGGGTCCATCTCGGACTCCACTTCGGACTCCAACTCGGGTCCATCTCGGACTCCACTTCGGACTCCAACTCGGGTCCATCTCGGACTCCACTTCGGACTCCAACTCGGGTCCATCTCGGACTCCACTTCGGACTCCAACTCGAGTCCATCTCGGACACTCCCACGTGTCATGTGTTGGTCCTTTTGGGTCCCTTTTTGGAGCCTCACCTTTTGCTCGCTTCGTGCTCGTTCCTCGAGCACTTCGTTGGGAGTTCCACTCCCGCTTTTGACTTTTCAAGTCGGAGCTTTTGGTCCAAACGTGTTACGCTCGTTTGGCTCTCGCTTCGGCCACTACCATGTGGCGCCCTTCCGGCTGCACTTTGGGGCCTAGGGATTTTGTGTCTCACAACTGTAGTCACAATTGTAAGTGACTAAATTTTCCATTCTGGGTTGGGTGACCTCCCGGGAAGTCCAAACTCAGGAGCTTACATTTGGTATCGGAGCGTGTCTCGGGTCCGACTCTGTTGGTTGGCTGAGGGAATCACACCACATGTTGATTGACATCTGGCTGGTCCAGTTTGCTCCCGCTGGGCTCGACCCGAGGGGTAGGGTGTCAAGAGAGCGAGGCTCTCGGGAGAGCTGCGGCTCTCAGCTTCCGTTCACGAGGGCGTGAACTTGCAGGGAAGCGTGGTGGATTGTAAGCAACCAAAGGGAACGACTCGAGAGACGATCCATGGGGTTCAAATATAGAGGGAAAGGGCCCATGAACAAGAGTGCACCCCCTTTTCCAATCGGTTAAGGGTCTTGGGATATTTGGGGTTAAGCGTCCTTGGGTTTGAATAGTACTGGGCTGGGTGACCTCCCGGGAAGTCCAAATCCAGGAGCGTTTACATTTGGTATCAGAGGGTCTCGGGTCCGACTCTGTTGGTTGGCTAGGGGAATCACACCACATGTTGATTGACATCTGGCTGGTCCAGTTTGCTGGTTGGCTAGGGGAATCACACCACATGTTGATTGACATCTGGCTGGTCCAGTTTGCTCCCGCTGGGCTCGACCCGAGGGGTAGGGTGTCAAGAGAGCGGGGCTCTCGGGAGAGCTGCGGCTCTCAGCTTCCGTTCACGAGGGCGTGAACTTGCAGGGAAGCGTGGTGGATTGTAAGCAACGAAAGAGAACGACTTGAGAGACGATCCATGGGGTTCAAATATAGAGGGAAAGGGCCCATGAACAAGAGTGCACCCCCTTTTCCAATCGGTTAAGGGTCTTGGGATAGTTGAAGTTAAGCGTCCTTGGGTTTGAATAGTACTGGGTTGGGTGACCTCCCGGGAAGTCCAAACTCAGGAGCTTACACGTTCCATGTGAGCAAGCTTAAATCATGTTTGCACTCTGGTGATATCATGAATTAGTCCATCATCCAGGTTCTAGAGATTGATGCAGAGAAGGCTAGTCCGGCCAATATTCTTGCTAAAAGATTGGTGAAAACACGCTGGAAAACAACTAGGGAGTTGTTAGTTCAGTGGAATGGTTATTCCATGGACGAAGCTACATGGGAAACTGAGGATGACATGAAGAGAGTGTTTCTGAGTTTTGGTTATGACTTGGATGACATTTCTGAGGAAAGGGAGAATTGAGTTCTATAGCCGTATTGCTATATGATTTGAGCCGTTTGTTCTATTCTCATTCTTTTGTTTTCCATGATCGTATTGTCATGTGAGAAAGCCATATTGCTTTCTTTCTTTCATGACCGTTTGTTGCGACATTGGTGTTGCTGTTTGCACATCTTTTTTCCATGGCCATATTGCCTTGGACTCCTTTCACTTGAGGCTCATTTAGCTTCTCGAGGCTACCGTATGTGGCTGGGTCATGAGGGAGGGGAGAATGACACGAACCACAAAAATATTCCAAGAATATTCCATGGCTTGTGGGATTTAAGGCCATAACGCCTTAAGGGTTGGGAGGTTGGCCTAGGGTTCGCTCTCTTGTTCGTTTCATATCACATCCCCAATGTTCTCTACTCATCCTCTCAAATCCCAGCCCGAATCCAGAGTGCTTCACGATCCCATCGTCACCAATCCAGTACCACTCGTATGTAGTTCTTCTACACACAAGCCTGCAAGAATCAAGCACACCATTTCAGTGGCCCAGAGGTCTTACGAAACTCTCAAATCCCCATACCTTTGCATCTGGCTCCCCAGGAGAATCAAAGCCAGAGCTCTTGAAAGTCGTGTTTTTCTTCCAGGTCGGCGAGCTTGTGGGAGGGAGCCTTTTCCCGCCTCGCGCACTAGCATGCCGCCATCTGGCCATCATCGCTATGAAACGCGTTTTGATAGTCGCATACAAAGACGGGCCCTTGGAAGAGCTGCTCTGCGAGATACCTGGAATGAGAAGATCACCAGAAAACGTTGATTTTGGTTTCCCTCTAACACACCTTTGGTGCTTGCTCCATTGCACAGGAGTTTCGAAGGGAAAGTCTTTCACGCATAAGATCACGCAAAGGAAAGAATAAATCTCGATTGCTTGTGTGTAAGTTATCCTTCCGATTTGCAGGAATGAGGAGCGGACGCCTTGTCAAGGATGCGGTCGGTGAGCACAGATCTCTGGGAGGAAATCGTCTCCAGCGGCCTCGCTAATCTCGTCATGGAAATGTATGGAAAGTGCGGCTGCTGATCGTGGCGTGAGCTTGCCGTAGACGTTGAGCAGCACTGTGGCGATGGAGATTCTGCGGTACTTGCTTGTGTGCCTCAGCTTTCAGCTTCCCAAGATCCTGGGCGAAAGCTTGCAGGAGCTGGCTGGCAGAACCTCGTGGGAGACCAGTGGGGCAAATGCGAGCTCATTATCTTAGGCCAGCGGCGACGAATACCGCGTGGATCTGAGGCGTTGAATGAAGAAGCATGAGTGCCACCGCTTCTCGCATCGGGCAAATGCCGCCGTCGCAATGTTCCACGAGAAAACATCTCAATCTTCCATCTTGTGGAAGGCTCCCAAGGCGTCTGCCGCTCTTCCAGGGGGTCCAATTCAAGGACGCCGTCACCTGGATGTCGGAGTTGGCACTCTGTCAAAGGGATCAAAAGAGCAGTGAAAGGACACAAAGGCAGTGTAAAGAGAGAAAAGAGCGGCAAACCTGTTTGCGCGACAGGTGGATTGACCATATACATCAGAAATACAAGAGTCCCAGCACCAAGCCGAGGTACGCATATACTTCCCTCGCATTCATGTGTTAACTTCCATGAACACTACACAGGGTAGGAGCAGGCAAGACAAGAAGGCCAAAGACGAGGCACTCTTGCGTTTGGAGGCCGAGAAACTAGCCAGGGAGAAAGCCGAAGCGGCGGCCAAGCAAAGAGTGGAAAGGATACAGAGGAAGTCCGAGGCGGACTTGCGGGCTCACAGGGACGAGATACACAAGCTGGAGCAGGAAGTTTGCAAGCTCAAGCTCAGTGCTAGGGAGCTAAGCTTGTCAATGGATCTGAGCGAGCAGGACGCGGTGGCGATGGTGTGGGGCTGACTGACTGGTTTGGCTTTCTTTGTATAATAGGGGACTATGGAGTTAGCTTTGCAAACGAGTGCTATGGTTGCTTCCTCGACGTTCTGGGAAGAGCGGGGCGTTTGGAAATCGCCGAGGATATGATTTGCAACATGCCGTTCGAGCCGAGTGCCTGCAAAACGCACAGCGACATCGCTCGAGCACTGCGGGTGACAAACTACATCAACCATTTCGCTCCAGACAAGAAGACGCAGTCGTGCATGCTTCTGGCCAACACGTACGCTGCCTGGTGGCTATGGACCCGTGCCATCGGCCTTGCTACTCGGGCAGGAGACGAGAGAGCGCTCGAAGAGTTTTTCGAGGAACTTGAGCAAGAACAAGAAGCTATTGAGATATCGTGACGAGTTTCACGACTTTTTCGTTTCAAACTGCGAGAATCGCTGCTGTGCTCCAGATTCTCTCGACAGCGTCGTCGATCCGGGAGAGAAAATTCTAAGACTTGGGAGAGAGAACAGCTTTCTCTTCTCAAAAGTTTTGCGCTGCCTATTGTTTAAATCTAATCACCTGGAAAACAAACTTATTGTTTATCGAGATGGAACTAAAACTCGAGCCCTTTGTGCACTGCGAGCACGGGCACAAAGGCAGCGTTGATCCGCTCCACAAGGATATTGTTCCATAAGCGTGCTAACCATGGAAGGCGCTGCTGGGCTCAGGCAAGCGAGCAAGACTAGAATGGCTTCCAGGAACAAGCTCCATTGTGCCCGAGTGGAGGGAATCAAGGAGCGCAAGCCTCGCAGAGAGCCAAGCAGCACAGTGATCTCTACGTTCCTTGCAGCTTGATGGGCATGTCTGGCTGCCTGGTTGAGGCGAGAATGTAGTTTCCTGGAACGCTTGGATCTTGGGCGTCACCTGGCGAAGAATCCCTCGTGCTCTGGACGCATTCGAGACCACGGATGGAATCCCTCTGTCGATCGACACTGGACCGCAGGAATCCCAGCGGGAAATCGACACTCCAGGCCTACATTCACAACCAGCAGCTTCACGAGGCCAAGCGCGTCTTGGAGTCCATGCCCGGGAAGAATGAATGCGCTTCTTTCAGCAAATGCCCAAAGCCGGCAAATTCACGTAGCGAGGCTTGTTTTTTATCGAATTCCAGAGTGGCACGTAGTTTGCATGAATGCTATTTGCGAAAGCTGGAATGATTAGCGAGGCTAGAAACCAATTTGAAAACATGCCTGAGAGACTCTGTGTCGTGGAATGTGATTCTCGAAGCAAAGAAGCTGTTGTCAGGATGGAACGAGATCATGATTCTCACACACAAAAAAACTGAGCAATCCAGTCCTATGGAACTCTATGATCGCTGCGGATGCAAGCACAAAAGTTCTTTGCGAGGATGACACAGAGAGATTCCGTGTCATGGGCAACACCTGTCAACTCTTTTGCGGAGCATGGCTGCACTAATCTTGCGAGAGGCATATATGAGAGACTGCCACAGCACGATGTTATGGGGTGGACTGGAATGCTCCGAGCAAACGCCCAGTGCGGTGAAATATGTTTTTGACTCAATCCCTCAAAGAAACCTTGTCTCCTTGCCAATACACTTTGCAATCAAGACAATCTTGCAAAAGCTAAACGAGTGTTTTCCATGTCGTCGATGCTCTTGGGACCAACTCTGGGCAGGAGGATACATTTCAAAGGTGGCAACATCTTGATGTTTCTGGTGTTGGTTTAGGGTGATTGGTATCACAGGATGGACGATGAAATTCAGGGGAAGATACGAACGTTGTGTGACTTAATTGACTCTTGGAAGGAATTTGAGGTGTTCCAGCACACCAAGCTCAACAGCATCTATAGATGAAGTGGTTTTAGCAGCCATGTAATTCCTTTGCTTTTTCTTTGGCTAGGGTCTTGCAAATCTGTAGCGGGGCCATACATAAACCACAGCAAGATCATCAATCGTAATCACTCTCTTGATATATTAATGTATGAATTACTGCATTTAAACACTAATGCATTTAAGCCAGGCTGCTTTGGTGTTTCTACTTTTTGTGTTTGCCACTTTTCAGAATGTGTTGTGTCTACCTCAGGCAGAAGGGGTCTGTTGTCTTTGGATGCTAATGCTGTCAACAGAATTCAGGATTTGATCTGTATCCTACCATTGGAGATTAGGCTGTCTTTGAGGATTTTCGGGAGATTGATGCCGACCATGTTCAGGTCTTTGAGGAACTCTCCAAAGATGTATAATCAAATAAACAAAAGTAATAACAACAACAATATCAATATCAGTATAGATGAGGAAGTCAAGGAAAGAAAATGTATCAGCTGTTTGAAAAACTTGAAAGAACAATAATACGATCATTTCTTTATTTGGATGTAAACCTCTGGCAGATCACAAACAAGTAACAACATCATGGTCACAAGTTCCGGTCAATCCACTATCCCGAAAAAGGACAAATCATTCTATATTAACAACAATTAAGCAAAACTTTGTCAAGGATAATTAATTAGCTTGAATGATAGTCAATCATCACTAATGATTGCTAGATGCAAAATACTAGCTTTAATATTGAAGATAATAAGCCAAAATGCCTTCCCCAAAAACTTTTAACAAATGGAATAATGAACATAAAACTTAAAGAATTAAAAGTTCGAAGAAATCTATAGCCAAGTCTCACTTAATCATGGTCACAAATCTTGCATGAACTAATGTCAATGTTAAAGAAGAAATCACAGTACAACCCACAATATCTTCCTCAACACGTCAAAAAGCTAAATTTATGATGCTAAAGCTAATGAAAAGCATGTTTGCATCAATCTAAAATATAAGCATAATAAAGTTATGCTAAATAAGTCATTACCAAACCAATCCTCCATGAATTTATATTCTATAAAATGTAACTCACTTTATAACAAACATAAAAAGAATTATCGATGATCGATTTATTCTCAACTCAAATCTAACAAAAAACCAACTTTAATATCGATCACTAACTTTTCCTCTCGTAAAACTAGTATAGTCCATAATTAAATCACTTTTCAAGGAAAAGCCAAATCTCAACCCCTACTAAACAATGTTATCTAGAATATAATTAACTCAACTTGCTACTCAGTTTGTTTGAATGATAATATAGTTACTAGCTAGCAAATATATGAATGCCAATAACACAAAGCTATATCTAAATCATTAATACTATTTACATTAAAACTAGCGAAACTTAATATCAATCTTGTGAATCTCAACATCAACAATGTCAATGATAAAGTATCACTTCAATGCCATCAATATCAAAATAAAACTAAAAGAAAGCAAGAATGAATCACTACTTTAAATCCTTTAGCAACCAAGCTAACCAAAGTCAAAGATACCTTACTCAGTATTTGAGACTAATTTTTCAACAATACTTACCTACAAATAACAGATATCAAGGAAGGATTCACCACATTTAAAACTTAATGTAATCCAACATCACAAAATAAATGCAACCAAATGATATTGACAGAGATAGAGTTGATACGCCAACATGGAAAAACCATAAAAACCCATAACACAATCCTTTGCAACACTATTTGGTAAGATAAGCCCATCATTACTAACTCATCATCGAGTAAAGGAAGTGTCAATAGTCCTTAATGAAGTTTACACAAAATTATTAGTCGTAGAGCAACTTTAAGTTGCCTTCACAAGACCTAAATATTAAACTCACATCATCGAGTTATATACTTGTTTAATAAAAAAATAACACCCTATATTGAGTTTGGTCCCTCAATATTTGCTAAATGATAATTTACTATGTTTACTAAACACCCTTGTTATTATGCCTCTTATGTTAGTTTCATTTCGGTCCCATTTGTTATTTATGGAAAGTGTCTAGATTTGTTAATTTGGCATATTTATAAAATGTAAAGATTGTCCTAAACACAATAGTGTTAGTTCTATATCCAAATTTGTAATTTAGCACAATTCCATATTTAGTATATTTCAAACTTATTCTAGAGACTAACTCTTGGTATTAAAAGAGACTAGGGGTGAAAGCCCAAAGTGTGCATTCCTCAACGGGGGGGGGGGTTCCTGTCGCGAATATGACTTTAGGTATCGAAAGTTACCTGTCGACCAGTCCTTACGGACACTCTTACCTTACTGCTACGATGGCAGGAGGTCGGTATTGCTGGACCCGTTATCAGTCTCCGCCTAAGCTAGTTGAGAAACTGGTCATCACATGTGCATTTAGACCGGAAGGGCACTAAGGAAGGAAATCCTAAGTTGTCATTTAGTCAAGCAAACTTGACACGGTGATGAGAAATTCATGATGTTGACTTGCACTTGCTAGTGTTGGGAACCCTCGCGATATTGAGCTTGGTCCCTCAATATCGCTAGATGATAGCTTACCGTGTCTGCCAAACACCCTTACTATCATGCCCTTTGTGTTAGTCTCATTTCGGTCTCAACTACTATTTATGGAAAGTGTCCAGATTTGCTCATTTGGCATATCTACGAAATGTAGAGATTGGCCTGAACACAATGGTGTTCGTCCCGTGTCCAAATTCACAATCTAGCGCCATTCCATATTTAGTAAATTTCAAACTTGTTCCAGAGACTAACTCCTGATACTAAGGGAGGCTTAGGGTGAAAGCCCAAAGCGTGTGTTCCTCAAGGGGGGGGGGGGGGGCCTGTGGGGGGTTCCAAATGTATAAAAGGGATAGGGGGGGCCGACTAACCTGAGGCAAAGTCTAGCTCCCGCTTGCGTGCCTGTCCTTGTTCTGCGTCCGGCTTGGGTCTAAACCCAAGTTCCATTCCATGCTAGCTGGTGGAGTACCTATGTCCTCACGTTAGGCCACCGGTATGCCGAAATAGCGCTAGACTTCGTTTGGCTCCGTTTTGCATGCTAGTCCTAGCATTGGGATGCTGGTTACTCTAGGACTGTTCCAAGTCGCTCCGGGCTTCTGTCCCTTCGCTCTTTGGGCTACATGCTCGGGAGTTGCTCCGTGGTTTGGTTCCGTCACTCCTTGGCTTCGTGCTTGGGAGTTTGGCACCGTTCCTTCGTTCAGTGGCCCCAAGGCCCTAAACCTCAGGTCACGTGGCATGGACACGTGGCATGTGACACGTGGCACCTGTCACGTGGCACAAAGAGGGTTTAGGTTCTGCTCCGTGGTGTTATCCTATGGTAAATCACCATAGGATAAAGGGTCAAAACCAATGCGCTACATTTGGTATCAGAGGATACGTCTCAGCGAGTACTATACAATGAGATTGGGCAACTAGTCTCGTTGCATATGCAGAGATGAAAACGATGATCCGAGTGGGTACACGTTTGGGTGCAAAGGCTTCGCAATAGTTCCTTGGGTATGGATTTGGTTACCTTGTTGTACCATATTTTGTGAGCTTGAGTTTGGGCTCACAAGAGGGATTGAGTTGTTCCGTTTGCACGAGTTTGAGCTTGGGCTCGTGAGTGGGGCACATTAGCAACTCAAGGATACACTTTGAGTTGACAGGATTAATGTTAGCCTATCGGTGGTTCCATGAGTTGTTCCATGTACCGTGGGTTAAGTAAACCTTTCCCTGGGTTTGCTGTGAGTGGCAAATAGGCTGGTCC